GTGTGTGTGTGTGTGTGTGTGTGTGTGTGTGTGTGTGTACAGATTCCACACGAGCACGATGAAGTGTCTTAGAATCCCCAGGCTTTGCAACGTTAGCCATAGCTTGCTGTGGTCCACGTAGTGAAATATCTTTGCATATCAACAAAACACAGGTAAACAACTATCTTTCTGGTATTGTCTTCTTTCTCCCCAAATCCATCTAACCATCAGCCATGATAGCCCACATTCCACATCCTCTTCTGAATCTGGCCTGAATTTCTGGTAGCTCCCTGCCGATGTGGTGTGGTAATGGCAACTGTTTTATTAATTACCTACAGCAGACTTTTACTTGAGTGTGGTATTAATGTCACTGCTCGATAATTTCTACACTCTATTGGGTCCGCTCTCTGTGGAACGGGCACAAATTTGGATTTCTTCCAGTCGGTTGTCTGGGTGTGTTTCAGGTTTCTTGGCATAGACTATTGAGTGCTTGTTCACGTGTTTGATTGACAGTCTGTCAGGTCCTGGAGCCTGGCTTTCCGCCATGGTCCCCAATGCAGCTTGACCTCTTCCTCCGGTCCCACCAGTTCTTGATCACCCGCCACCTCCTGAGATGGTTGGACGGGACCAATTCTCTTTGGCACAGTGGCTCTGCCTAGTCCTACCATCTTTGGATGCTTCCTGCAACGTTCAGTGTGTTGCCCATGGAACCTTTCAATATTGGAACTTGAGGTTTGAACTTTTTCTTCTGTCCTTTTAGTTTGTAAACTGCTGAGTGTGTTCTTCCCTTTGGGTTTTCTAACGCCAGGTTCATTATAAGACTTTGTGCTCTTGAGCTGCCCTTTGAAATCATTGCCATCGAGGTAGTCGATTGATTCCTTTGTAGTCTCTCTGCACAGGCCCATGTAGATCATCGCCACTCATGTGATTGAAAAGGGATTTCAAAAGAATCGTTCATTGGATTGGTCTTGCAAAAAGGCTGAGAGCACTGCCTGGGCTCCTTACCAACAAGGAGCCAGGCCAATCCTACCACCAGGTGGTTGGG